CGAAAAAAAAAAATGCACAAAATCTAATATCTATCCACGGAATCTATTGTCAGCTCAGCTGCTACGTGATTTTGTTAGCTTATTGAACTGTCATACACGATACGTTTATAGAATAACGAATAAATCACCTTTAAGGTAAAAAAAAACTGTATACAAATCAGGAGACGTCGCAGGAAAGAACTATCCTTCCTGGACATTGCAACATAAAGGATCAGTGCCCACTTTTCTTCTATTGTACAGGGACAAGTTTTTCCACAGAGCACACACAGGAGCGAAAAAGAAAAAAAAAAAGTACAGCGATCGCGTGGTTTCCAAGGCCGCAGTAATCGTTCCAGTTACTTGTTACATTTTAAGAACGTACCAGTTACAGGAACCGTCGATTCTAAATATAGTATCATAAGCGGGCGGGTTATTTTCGTTCTGCTGTTAAGAACGTTACGTCACTTTTTGTTCAGTGTCATTGTCACTGACCAGGATGCGATCTGCTTTTCTTTTTTTTTTTTTTTTCTTTTCCTTTGAGTACAAAAGTTCTCTTTCATATGGCCCTGGTATATTGATTGGCTTTTGCTATCTTTGTCTTTACATGTAGTCAAGTACTTTTATTTTATCATTAGCTTATAAGTTAGATAGATAGATAAAAAATAAACACAATAATATTTTATTAATCTAATAGTAATGAAAAAAAAAGAAAGAAAAAGCCTGAAGAAAATAAAAAAAATAAAAAATGAGTAAATAAAAAGCAGTGATTTTTGATGTTTGTAAAAAAAAATAAAAAAATAAAAAATGAGAATCACTATTCCCTCTCCTTACTCTCTCACGCCCCTCCCCCCATAAAAAAGTAATAATAAAGACATCTAACCCTGTTATTAAAAATGGTTAATCACGATTTTTTAAAAATATTAATTATTTTAAATATACTAATTCACTAAACCTTGAAATCGTTTTTGTACCAAATATAAGATTCTATCTAGCTTAAATGACATGCATGGCATATCGTCGGATTCACAATTTTTCTTTGATTTTTTTTTATTTATTCTTTTTTTTTTAAATAAATATAGTAGGCCTGAATAATACTTTTTTTCTAAACAAATAAAGAAATATTCCGAAACCTCAAGATAAGAGTATATAAAACGATATTTCTTCGTGTTTTAATATATGGTATTGAAGCATTGACTCTAACCAAGCAGAAAGTACATGGCAGATAAAGATTGAGAGAAGAATATACGGTCCAACCAAAGAAGTAAATCATAACCACATGCAGAACATAAACACCTAGGAATCAGATACAGTTTCTTGCATTAAAAAGGGGAGAATAAGATGGCTGAATAAAAAAAAAAAATCTAAACAAATAATGGAACAAAATACGAGGTGGAGAAAGAGGAAGATAGTCTTTGTGTAATACAACGTTTGCGACATAAATGGTGAGTAAACTATCCTTCGCAAAATTTTGGACTGGAAAGACTGAATTTTTTTAATATTGAAATTTTTAGCAGAACCCCACAGTTAAAAAAACTTAATAGAGGATTAGTTTGTTAGTTAAAGATAATTTTGAACGTCTGTCTAAAAATCTAGATTAAAGACCGTTTCGTCTGTTTAATTGCATTCGTTTTCGTCTAATGTGAGGCCTCTAATTTAATATTTTGTGTAAATGCAAAATAAAAAAAATGCATTTAAAAATATTTGGTTTAAAAAAATTCCCTGGTTATTCATAACAATATTTTTCTCTACTGAAACGAAGGGTTTACTTCGTTTTTAACCCGAAGATATAAATATATGTCAAGTAATGTATAAATATAAATTAAAACACGTGATAAATAAAAATAAAACTGGAATCTTCTAAAAGAAGGTCGACCAGTAGCGCATGTCATGGTGTAGGATGATGAGGCAGCCTCAGGTTTCGTAACGTCTTGAATTATAAATGAGTTAAGCTGATTTTTTTATATAATAACATCTCGTTAAAAATTAAATTACAATACTACAAATTACGAATATTTCAAGGCTCTCAAAGAAAAAAAGCTAACAGAAAACAAATTGGAAATAAATTACTCGTAATAATATAATAAGGATAAAAACATATTGGACGATGACAAAATACCACATTTATTCTAGAATTGGACAAAAAATATTTTTATTATTATTTTAAAATAATTAGTATATTTTTTAAATAGTACCTTTTAATTATAAAGTATTCGAAATGTTTTCAGAAAAAGTATTTTGATTGCAAAGAAAATAAAAATACAAAATACTAACGTCACATGAAGAAACGCTTTAGAACTAATTTCTTTAAAAGCATGTTTATTCTGTCGAGGAAAAGGTTAGTAGGGTATTGGTTATATTAGTGGAATATATTAAAAATTAGTGGTTATATGTATTAAAATAATTAATTAATTTTGACTACTGGGCTAAAACTAATTAAAATGTTCCATTTTTTCTCTAGTATTTACAAAAATAATTAGTTTCGAAGAAACGTGGTGGGAATAATGGTACTGCAGACTGGAGCTGTGTCATTCCCAGCGTTAATTGATTATCTTATCCTTATTATTTTATAACATTTATTCTTCAAAAGTTCCATCCAAATAATATCTTTCTGTTATTTTATCTCTCCGTGTCGTATCTAAATTAAAGTATTAAGTTTAAAATTTATCTTATTAGCTTTTATAAATGTATGTTTATAAAGTAGAGCTGAGAAACACTTTGATAACATCGTGGTTGACAAGCGAATACGTAACGCTGCCGTAGTTTCTAGTAACACTCCCGTTCACCACCACACCTTTTAGTCACTATTAACGAAGTTTTTAGCTATGTATGAACCTGTTTTTATTAGTTAATAAGAGCTATCTCAATCTGATTTAGTTTCTCTAAAACGTTTTTTATTTATTTATTAACTGTATGAAAGAAAAACATTTAGGTAATTTGTATATATGGATACAATGACGTGGAAACACTTGTTGAGAAACTACCGAATGATAGCACTCTAATAATATGTCTACATTAGGAGATCACGGGGCCATCTTCTTTTCAGACGCCTCGGAGGGTTATCAGAAATTGAAGAGGAAACAAGGTTAGAAACGAGAGGATTCGGATGATTCTGAAGTTTATTATGGAAAGATATGCATCTGGATTGGGCCAAATCTGAAACATAGGAAACATTAAGGTTATTATGGATGGTTTTATTTGTAATAAAGTAGGGAGCATTGAGGATTTTACGAAGGATTTTGGATTGTAAGGATCGGATACGAGAGGAATTCGATGATTTAGTGGAGTCCCATAACTCAACTCCATATGTCCAAATAGGCCTTATTATAGTCATGTATAAGAGTCTTTTGTAATTAATTTGAAGTTATGAGCGTCTGTCAAGTAAGTGCTGAAGAAATCGGAAACGTTGAGCGGTTTCTCATTGTTTCAGTAGGGTATGATCTTTATCACTTGAATTCTAGAACAGCACAAATTTATGTTTATTTTTCATAGTGTAAGATGAGAGTATAGAAGTTCAGTCATTGATGAGGGCTGGAAAGTTCATTCATTGATGCTTGAAGGAGCAAATAATCCCGATGTTGTTCTATAGTAATAGTAATCCAGATCTATACGTTAATTTCAATGACTGAAGTATATAAAAGTTTAATAGTATTCGGTAACAGTTACAACTTGAAACCATCTGATCTGTAGACGAAATAAAAATCTGGTATGTGTGCTAGGTCACAACTTACTAGGTACGTTAGTTCAATTCCTCCTCAAAACCATTAGTTCGTGGTACAGACCTTTCCTTTTTTTTTTTTTTTTTTCAAATTATTAACATCCGCTTAAAACTTTGTAAATAGGATCAATCTAGAGAACGGCATACTTTTTCTATTTAATTAGGTACTAGAAGTTCATCTTACAATTCAAATAGAAAGAAAATTGGTAGTTTTCTATTTGAATCGTAAGATAATACGAGTTTAAAAAAAAAAAAGTGGCCAACAAAAATATTTGACCCTTTGGCCTACATAACTTCGTTATTTTGACATTCAGGGAGGTGGAGGGGTCGATGGTCTAACCAAACGAAACAATATTTTGAAGGCTACTTTTTATTTTTTTTCGTGATCATATTATCTTAATTTTCAAACGTAAAAAGTCTTGAATACCTAATTAAATAGACAAAGTTTGCCGATCTCTAACGGATGTTAATAATTTGATAAAAAGGAGCCAGTACCACGGACTAAATTGAAAATTCCTGATTTTCATTTAAAATAAATAGTTTTTCTTTTCCCTAATTTATATTTTCATAAACGATCTTCAACTATTTCTTTTAAATAGTTAAGTGGGGAATGGATTTTTAAAAAGCCGAAAACTACACAATTTACTTTAAGAAATAATTAATTCATATTATTATTTTTTCCTCAGGAATTTCTTCAAGTTTTCCTCAAACATTTATCGATAATCTACAACTGTTTTGTATATTTTTCAGTTCTTTTTTCCCTTTTTTTCTTAACGAATTTATTACTATCGCAATGATTTTCCTTAATTTTTTTAAGTAGTTGTTTCTTATATTTTTCTAACTATTTTTAAAACGATTTTCAGGAAATGATTATTATGTTTCTACATCTCTTGATGCCCAATGTTACAAAGCATAATCACCAAATAAGCATTTATTATTATCGGACAATGCACTCCTCATTGTCTGTTATCTCAAAGTCAACTGAGCTGAAATGGCGTCAATCAGATTGATACGTTTAGGGTACTTCATGACTGATCCAATAGTATCCGCTTAAAGTCCCAAACCCAATTGAAAAGCACTCATCAGAGATTCGTTTTGAGTAAGCTTCGTGAACAACTATGTAATTAAAACTAATTTTTACTCAAAAGAACCAGCTGTGGATTTTCCGGTGTTGTGAATCGCGGTCTAAATTAAAGAGAGGTTATATTGAGAACACATTGTCAATCCCCGGCTATTGTTGAAAGGACATTTCCAGCGTGATCATGAGATCTTGACCCATTCGTCAAATTGAAATGACATTTTTACACTAGAACCGACAAATATTTTTGGCGATAGCCATGAAATCGGGTAATTCTAAAATAACAATAATACAAATGTTACTAGATAAAATCCATGATTGATTTTTAAAGATTTTTTTTCAAAGTCCAATAAACTGCCGAAATACAACGTGATCACACTAAGCTTCAATGACGTTCTCGACGGTGTCTTCTCGAAGATAATTGAGGCGGACTTTCTTACAACGGTTGCAGTGCCTCACTTTTTCCATTTCCGCTATCGACCCGGCAAGTGCTTGCTTGATATCCGAAAAGCACTTCGCCACTTCCGGGTCCATCTTGATTGCTTCCTCTTCGGCGATGGCTGACTTGCACCTGTCACCGATGGCCCCCGCTGAGACGGGTCCGAAGGTCAGGAGATGATCGATGCGCCCTCTGAAGACTACTTCGGACTGGACATGTCTGCTCGAGTCTTCCTTGGACAGCTCGGCCGAAGAATCCAAGAGTTCGCTGGAATCATCGATGTAAGGCGTGAAGATCTGCCTGATCTGGCTTCTTGTCAGCGAGATCTGGTTGGCTATTCTGGTTTTATTCTTCGGCATCTTTGTTCACAATAAATTTGTCATTAAAGTTTAAAATAACATATGCGATATTTGATACAATCATCTGTCCACTATATTTCATATATTTTATAAGTTTTAATTACGGTTCAAATCTAAAAGAATAACATTGTTAATAAATGAAACTCTAAAGTTGAGGTAAGTTTCAAGATCTTTTTGAGCTGAAATAGATGAAATCTTGAAACAATCCGAGTATATTCCAACGTAGACATAAACGGCTAACCTCAAACCTTTCGTAGCAGAATATTTAAATTTCTTCAATTTAGATCAGCTTAAGTCTAAACAACGTTCATTTTTATATTTCTATACTAGTTGGCCTGTGCGAGCATAGAATATTCGCTAGAAAACAAATTATAATAACAAAGACGTCCCTATTTAATGTAGTTTAAATAAGAGAAGAGACTAATTATGTTATAAATAGAATAGAATCCAAACTACAAAGCCATGAGTCTCTAACATAAAGGTGAGTAGTTAACTTTTAGCATGTTTAGTATAAGTTTACTATTATGTTGCAGATTCATAGCTTCGTAGTTTGGATGTTTCCATTTATAACATAATCACTTTATATCTCTTTTCTAGTTTTATGCTTATTTTAAAAGAGAATAATATTAAATAGAAGAATCACCAGGGACTCACACGTCAAAATCATATGAAAGATTTTAAACAAACGACTGGAATTACTATTGCCTCTTTTATCCTTATAAAAAGTGACAAAATTAAATACATACTTAAACTCCTATGGACATACGATTCAGCAAAAAAAGATTCACAAAAACTAAACAATTTTCAGTTCAAAATTCGTTTGGACAAAAACTAAATCACTAATAACAGAATTTTCTAACATCAAACGCATTCAATCCTTCCAGTCCAAAGTCCTCCGTACAATAGTCGATGCTCCGTTTTATGTCTCTAATAAAACCCTGCACAATGACCTTAATATTCCATTTATTCTTGATCTTATCCCAGACAAATTCTCCAAATTTCATCAGAACCTTACCCATCACCCTAATCCCGTAGCACAATCCCTATCTAGCACCACTCATCCCTACAATCCTCCTCGCAGGCTGAAACGGCAGTGGCCCCGTGACCTTTTGTAACATTTATATACTGGAGTTCTGGCAATGGCCAGATTCTCCACTCAAGTCATGAGTGTCCGTGGTTGTAGCGCCCTTACTCAATCTCCGCTGGCTTTCAATGCCAGTGAAATGGTTGAGGAAGAAGCGCAGGGATCTCCTAAAGCCTTGCTTTCCCTCCACGTGTGGGGGGATAAGTATGGTTCGGAGTTCCAATGGCCGACTGTAAATAGTCAAATAGGTATGCCTGCGTCTAAGGTGTTTATTTTCATTTTTTTTTTCTCACTATTTTGTGATGATATTTTATTTTGTTCTTTTGTAGCTTTATATTATTTGAAGTTAGCTTATTTTTTTTATTTATTTTTTTTTTATTTGTAAATATGGTGTGAATGTGCTCTCAGAACTCTATTATAAATGTCCTTTATTGAGACAGATTGTAATATTTATCAATAAACCAAAAAAAAAAAAAAAAACAGTTCTGGTACGTAAGTTCTCTGGTACGTAAACAACAAAGCATTATTTACCAAATGAAGACAACCAACTATCGACCAACACATACGTACTATTTACTCCCGATTTCTTACTACTTATTACTTTCTTTGCTATTCATAATTCTTTTCAGTCTGTCCCCGAGCTCCATCGAGAGGCCGCCGTACACCACACAGCCGTACACAAGGTGGGGGAAGATGAGGGAGGTTACTAGGAGACTACGTGTGGGTACAGGAAGGAGATGGCGGAAGCGATGGAATAGCTTAAGGGTACAAATTGACCGCCGAGAAATGTGGGCAATATGGTGATTCCAGGAGAGAGTTTTGTCAATGAAAATGCCTAGGTTTTTAACTGTTGTTTATATTATATATATATATATATATATATTATAATATTAGGTTTTATGGTACGTTTTTGGACATTTAAACTTAGGGCCCGTAATTCGAAAAGAACTAACCGGGTCTTGATGTACCCATTAAAATCTTCATATTCCAATTTGTGGCTTATTGATCCACGGCCTTACCCTTGCCTCAATATTGAAGCCTAGCGTAATGTTTATATCGAATTAATGTATTTTAAATAAAAAAAACAAAAGCAGAAAGCACGAATTTCGCTTGGTGGTCTATTTGGTTATTTTTATAAGTAGATAAATGATTTACCATAATTTAACTACTGATGTTTAGTGAATGACTAGAAAGGTTTAGTGATTTTTACCAGGATAAAATATATTTAATTTCAAACTGAAAAAGAAATAAAAATATATAATTGACTTTTCCTAAGCTAAATTAAAAGTATAGGAAAAAACTTAAATGATACCGCTTTTAGAAAATAAAATGCTTACGCTGGTATAAACTAGCACCTCTTTTTTAAAAAAAAAAAAATTTCTGTTTTTTACTTTAAATTAGGGTGAACAAACTTAAACTTTGTATCGTATGTTTTGTGTATAAAAAATAATTAATTTTAATTAACAAATAATTAATTCTGGGATACACCCTTCACTAAACATATTTTGTGGTTCAAAGAAGTACGGTAAATTACATAGAATACTATCATCATTGAATTCAATATTTGTGTGAAATGCCTATCTGTAAAGAATCAGACGTTTTGTCCTACAGGTAACCTAAGGGTTGCAGTACTCAATTCGAGCAATTGGAAAGAACACCCGGGGACCCAATTCGAGTTCATCTATATCAAGATAAACAAACAGATTTTCAAAAATCAAAAATAGTTATGAGATGAGCTGATAGTTTAGGAACAGGAAAAAGTAATCCAGAACTTTTTTTTTCGTTCTCCGCTTGTTCGCCTTTTAAGGGTAAACGGGGATTTTCTCGTGCAAGGGGGTAAGGACGAGGGGTTAAAAGACTCCTTGGTCCAGAACTTGGTCTTGGTATTACTTCATCATCTAGTCTTCTATCCGGGTTGCCAGGCAATATCAGGCAACGCGTTAACCCACTCGGTAATCCGGAACTATTTAAATTCTATGCTATCAGATAATATTAGGTTATTTTACGACCGTTGATTGCAGTGAGGGAGGTTCTTCAAGAACAATGTTCCCGATCTAGAGACCTGAGATGGAAATACCGCTGCAGATACTCCTAGATCGGCGCGGAAGTAGGTAGGCTGCCTTGATCTGGTTGAAGGTCGGTCGTTGGGAGCACGTGTTCCAAGTCTCGTAGCCGGGGGCTCGTCCGGTTCCAGCCACTCGGATCGATTTTATGCGCTTAAAAATATCGATTATTTTCATTTTTCACTATTGTGTGAAAAATATTCATTTTATTAATTAAATACAAATATTGGTAATTATTTACGAACGGTCCTCCACTCGCCATCTTGGTTGAACTGGTATTATATCCCGTGTTCTGATAACGTTTACGAAATCTAGCACCAGAAAGCGCCACTATTGCGGAGGGGTTGTCTTGTCCCCTCCACCTTACCTCTGTTTTCAGTAAATATAGAAATTAGATCGTTTAGGTTATATATTACCCGCCTTTTTTTAAATTAACCATTCCTTACCCACCATTAAATAAGCATCGATTGAACACCCATTTCCATCTCATCCACATAATATTTTTATGCTTATACTTTTTATATATCCACATAATATATTTATGCTTATACTTTTTAGATATATTCTGTCACATTTTCAGTCTAATGTGCAGCATACTGTCTTAAAAAATTTGTTAAACATTAAACAACTTCATTAACTTAAATTTTTAAATATTTGATGGTTGATCATTGTATATTTTAGATATTTAGATTGTATATATTCAATTTTTAAATACTTTATGCTTGACCATGCTATATTTTAGATTGTATGTACTAAAAAATTTACAATTTTCTATAAGTGTTTTAATGCTGGATAAGGGTTATGTTTTTCATTTATATGTTACTTAAATCTTCTAGCAATAAAACACATTTTCAGTCTACTGAGGTACATACTGGCATTACCAGATTCTAAGGGAAATGTTTCAGGATCATGTAGGAGAGCTCTAGCGATTCATTTAATTTAAAATAATCAAAGAAGAAAACACTACTGACATTCCTTTAAATCTGAACTTGTCAGCAACATTACGAGTTCTTAGCGATTGGTCCCTTGTATATTCCCCTTGGAACCGTACATTTTCTACATAATTAACTATGCCAATCATCGTATCTGTATGATAGACAAGTATCTTAGCAACCTGTATATATATATAAAACGCAATGCTCCAAGAGGTATTTAGTCAAGCAGTAATCTTTTTCAAACATTAGCTAAATTATGTCAACTTGAGCCTGTAACATTTATAACAGATGCTTTTGAATATATTTTTACCTATGCATCTCAATTATTCACATTTGGTTATTATAATTTCTAAATTGTCTTAATCTTCAATCCAATTTAAATTATCTGACCAGTTATCCCTAGCCATTTCCATTGCTGTCTACTTACATTATCTGTATCTACTTTTAGATAGATATATAGAAAAAAAAACTTTATTCTGGGACTAAGTCCCTTCAGAATAACAATAATGTACAAAATAATGGAATATTACTGGCCTAAACGTTTGAAACAATAAATAAAATAAAATAAAAAGTAAAGAAAACCTTAGGTGCGCAAGCTATGTACAATACAGATAAAACTATGTACAGAGCATTTAAAATTATAAACAAAACAATTAAAACTATGAACATATCACTTGAACTATAAACAAAACTATAAAGTTAGAATGTGTTCATTTCATAAAAAAATAAAATTTTACTTGAATATACATATAAAAATAAACAGTTAATTATAATTGAATAAATAAAAGAAATGTATGTATTGAAATTCCTATGTCGATAGTATGAAATGCATGAACTATCTCTTATCAAGTATTATGATTATATGATTGCTACACAATACATATATAGTATTAATAGTTAGCTGGTATCTGACTGTTTTTGGAACAGGAATTGGAATATGAGGTTTTTGAATGTGTATAGGGGAGGGGCATGTCAAATTTTGATCAGGAGGGAATTCCAA